AAAAAAAAACGGGAAACGATATGGCCGACACAGGGGGGACGAAAAAAAAAAAAAAAAAGTTTATGCCGCCCGCTTATCGACGGCAGGCATTTCAAGATATTCATGCGCATCTACGTCCGCCGCTGCCTAGCCCCGTGAGCGCGCTCTCTCGTTTAATGGCGCGCAGCGAACATTTCGGTACGCGCGCCCCCTTGCATACTCCCCCGCCCTAGATCGCCTTCATCCGCCGGCCCTCGTCAAAACTTCGATCCCAAATCCAGCGCGCAGAGGACCATCGACCTCCCCCCGAGCAGCCAATGCTGCTTAAGAGTTATGATAATAATAAAATAATAAAATAATAAAAAATATATATATTATATATATAATTATTGTTATCAGGGAAAATGTCTGAAATACCCTTGACATTTAACGTATATGCTCAAATACCCTTACGGGACAAGAGGGAGCGGAATACCTCTCTAAAATTTTTAAAAAGTTAGTGAAATGCCCTTTCGCATTCAGATCTTTGCGTTATATGCCCCTGTCAAGAAGTTGGTGAGTTTCTGCTTCCCCTATGAGGGGCAGAATGCAAACTTGCACCACCCCTTGACAGGAGAAGATCACAAATATTGAAATCCAAAAGAGCATTTCACATACTTTTTTTTTCTTTTTTTTTTTGGGAGAAACATAGCACTTTTCATTCCAATGAGATCACCGGGGCCCGGGAACACACTCCTACATATCAACCCGGTACACAGCTTTAAAGGAATCTCCAAAATGAAAAATTGCAGAGCAAATCTATAGCAGTATAATATCCTTCCTACACAAGAGAACACCGGCATGTTCCTAAAATCGAAACACTATTAGCAAAGAACTACGGGCTGTAAACTGCAAATCTCGAAAATGCCCCAAGGCAATTCATGAAAAATTTACAATTAACCCTAAAAAATTGTTTCCAAAGGCAGACTAAGTTCTTAGCTACAATTCAATTCTAAAATTCAGTCCAAATACGTACTAGTTTTCATCATAACAAGAATTGGGACTCGACATATTAATATTATCTACAGAAAACCAACGATTGAAAGCAACCAAGAAAACAGCCACATATAGAAAGTCCAAGGAAATTTCAAAAGGAGGGAGAAATGGGTAACCGCGCCCACAAGATATATGAGTGAAGGAAATACTAGCGAGATTCTCCAAGTGGCACAAAGTCGAGCGTAGAACACTCCCCGCACCACTCAAGGCATGGGTGACCCTGTATCACTCTCCCTATTCTTGAAGATCAGCCACTCTTACAGACTAAATGACAGTAACTTCAATCGCGCTTATGGTTGGGAATTACTTTACCCTTCGCGCCCGGGAAACGTTCCCACCGCCACGAGTAAGTCTCTCACTCCCACTAATGGTGCCACCACCCATAGGGCTTCGGGGCTTTACAGACCCAAGAGAGAACTCATCCCTTCATCATATTAATTTCCCAGCTACTGTCGTAGATATGTAAGTGGTAAAATTATACGCAGGAGTTCCCAGGATGACCATAGGTCAAGCGTAGAACACTCCCCGCACCACTCAAGGCGTGGGTGACCCTGCAACACTGTTTCCTGCGCTTGAAGAATGACCACTTTCGGGAAATAAACTTTAGTATGTCCCGGTTGGAAGGGTACACTGAGAAAGTTACCAACAACAAAAGCGATCCCCAGAATTTACTACGTAGACAACCCTCGAAAAGGACGTGAAATACCCAAACAAAATTCCAAAAATCTACAAGTCATACTATAAAACGATTGCTATGCACAACCAAGAACCTAACCCGTGCTACTAGTAGAGCAAGAAGATCCAAGTACCAAAAACCACAAAGCATAACCAGCGCTTAAAAACATCGAACACCTGTGAATAGACCTATATTCTGGAAAATTGTAACAACAAACACACGTCCCAAGTCCTAGCCTCAACGCGAAACGACTAACCACAACCATTCATCACGCGAGGAGCCTATGTTGTGCAGATGTTTTCAGCAGACATCTCAATCACCCGACATCACCAACACCACCACCAACAAAAGCAAATCCAAGGATCTACTACATAGACACCTCTCAAAGGAACAAACTCAATGGCTAAAAGCTTTAGAAGGAAGAATAAGCATTAGCTAAGGGTGACCCACACATCGATGCTGACCAAAACACTGTAAAAAGCCTTTGTTGCCTAGACGGGTTTCCCACCATGCACCCAATGGATACAACTCTAGTTTGCTCTTCACCAGGTATCTCATATCATCCCAACCCCGTGAGTTTCACCGTAAACCACTGCAAACCTAAAATAACCAAATTAACTAAAAAACCAAAAAATTAAGTAAATGAACATCATACTGCCTTGCGACAACGGTAAGTCAAACAAGACTTGCTGAAGCCCTTGAATATGCCGGAGCACTGCCACCGCAGCCGCACGCTCTCCCAATGCGTCCAGGTACGCCACTCCGCCTTCCATGCTTTCCTAGTGATCGAGGCAGTCAGGATGACGTGTCGTGAAATACAGGGCGCGGCCTTTGGATGGTAAGAAAGGAGCCCCCCCTTTCCAGCAGAAGGCTTGAGGGGAAGGCAGGCTCCTTTGCTATCAAAATCTCATAAGGTGTGTATGTTGGTATGGAGGTCCGATAGGGAGCTGCCAGGATGCCATGGCGTAAGAGTGCACAGCACTCCCTACCCACTCCAGGGCTAGGCTACGCCAGGGCACTGTTGCCATAGCTCTCACACAACTATGGTGCCTGCCAGGGTAGGCGCCTCGTCGAAAAAATTAGCGTCCGCGTGCCCCGACATTGCGCCCTATACAGCTGCCATCGGCGACCGGGCGCCGCCACCGCCGCTATCGCCGCTTTGTTAGCGCACGTTTCGCGCGACCCTCCCAAGGCCATATTTTATTTCTGTCTGATTCTCATTTCACATACTTTTGAAATTACAGAGGGTATTTAAAAAAAATAAAAAATCAGAGGGGTATTCCAGTCTCCCCACATCTTTTAGGGGTATTTTAGAATATATGCAGGGGTATCTCGAATTTTGTTTTCTGGCCTCCGGAGCAGTCGGTACTTGGGCAGGTGGTGAGAGAAGAGGGAGTTGGGGGGAGTGGGAAGAGGGGGGAGGCGGAAAACGGGGGGGAACGAGGAGGAGGTGGGGGGTTGAAGGGGGAAAAGCACTACCCATTCACAACAATGATGATCAGAATCTAGGCTACCAGTGGGGTCGCCCGGGTCACCTTGTTTGCCCGGGCTGCCCGGCCATGCAAGGACCATAGAAGATGCCAGCAAAACAAAATCCCAAATTTCTGGAAAAAAAAATGTCATGCAGGAAAATAAAGTGAATAACTTTTTCCTCAGGGTTATATCGAAAGTCCTTACCAAATTTAAAATAAAAAATAAAATAAGGGGATAATTTGCAAAATACCCCCATAAGTTGAGATATATGCGAAGGTGCCCCTAAAAGATGTGGGTAGAGCGGAATGCCCCTCTGACAAAAAATAAATAAAATTGTGAAATACCCCTGGCATCCGTTGGATCCCCATCTTTGCAATATACCCCTATCGGGTACTGTCCAACTTTGCAAAATGCCCCAGTACTTGCCAACTTCTCCTAGGTGCTATTGCAAAAGGCCAAGGCCCAAACGCAGAGGTCCAGATTGCAAAGTTGCACACCTGCGTGACAGGGGCACAACACAAAGATTTCGGCTCAAAGGGCATTCCGCTCTACCCACATCTTACAGGGGCATTTTGGCATATATCTCAACTAATGAGGGTATTTTGCAAATTATCCCTAAAATCTAGGCTACCAGAGTGGCCCAGGTCCACTTGCCCGTCCAGGCCAAAAAAATATAAAAAAAAAAAAAGAAAAAAAAGTATTGTTTAATTAAAAATTTTATTTTGAATTTGGTAAAGAATTTCGATGTCACCCTGGGGTTAGGTCCCACTTACACGAATTAAGCGATATTGACCGTAAATGGCAAAGATCAACGGCCATGGGGCAATAATTGTTCAGTTAGTTTTTTCTGCATAAAGTACGTTTTTTTCCTAGGTTACCTGATCGGACGTTTGGACCCCCCATGACCGTCCGGGGTTGTCCGATCGGACAACCGGTCGGTCGTCTGCCCGAGGCCCTACGTCCGATCGGACAACCGGTCGGTCGTCTGCCCGGGGCCCTACGTCCGATCGGTGCAAAAAATGGGGGGGGGCCTTCCAAGGGGAATCTCACGCCGTGAGGGTGGAAAGTGGGCAGGGGCTAAGCGGGGGGGCTGGAGCGAAAAATTTTCCGAGGCCGGCAGCGCCTCGAAAATCGAAAACGAAAATGGCCTAATCTACGCCGTCAGATCTTTGCGATCGACGGCCCAGATCGGGCCGATTTCAAATTAGAATTTCAAAACGCGGCGGCGCTGTCTCACACGCGAATTCGCATTGCCCTGTCGGTGGAGTTCGGCGTGGCAAGTGCCGAACTCCGACGCCCAACGGCCGCAACCCACGTGCCATCGCCCGCCCGCCCGCGCCAGGTGAGTTTGCCTCCCTTCGTCCTCCTCCTCCTCCTCCTCCTCCTCCTCCTCCTCCTCCTCCTCCCCCTCCACTTCCGCCTTTTGCTTCTCCTCTTTCCTGGTCCACTTCTTCTTCCACCTCCTCCTCCTCCTCTTCTTCCCCCTCTTCTTCCTCCTCCTCCTCCTCCTCGTTCTCCTCCTCCTCGTTCTCCTCTCCTTCTTCCTCTTCCCCATCCTCCTTCTCCTTCTCCTCCTCCTCTTCTTCCTCCTCCTCCTCGTCGTCCTCGTTGTCGTTATCCTCCTCCTCCATCTCCTCTTCTTCTTCCTCTTCCCCATCCTCGTTCTTCTCCT